TGCAGAAGGTGTGGTCTTTATAGAACTTCTCCAGCTCCATGTAGAACTTCTCGATTTCTCCTTCATCATAATTGGATGTTGGTGTGTAGACAACGAAGATAGAAACTGCCAGCATGAGCCACTTCTATTCAAATGTAAACATCCGATTCGGGTTGTTAGAATTTCGAATGAATCAATATTTATGGCTAAGTTCATATTGACAAGGACACCCACGCCTCTAAGGCCTCTTTTATCACATGTTCCGAGGAACAATTCTTCTCCAGTGTCGAAAATGGCGTGATGTGATTGGTGCCTTCTTGTCTTGGTCAGAGCTCCACTACCTCCACTGCTCAGCTGCCGCCACGCTCCAGGATAATTTCCGGATGCTCACACACGACTGAAGCCCCACAGAACAAGATAAGCGGAACTCTGAGACCTTGGACTCCAGGCTCAAGGACCCAGGGACAGAGATTCTCTGCTTGCGCCCAGCAACCACAGGTGACGAAGGGATTAAAATCAGGAGCCCCACCCTACCCTGCCCTGTTTGCTTCCACAAACCGCCAGAGACCCAGGGATTGGATTGTGCACAGAAGACCCACCCTACCCCTACCGGTACCAGATAAATACCTCAGTGGCAGACTTCCACTACCTCCACTACCCAGCTGCTGCCACACTCCAGGATGTTTTCCTGACCGCGATTGCGCGGCACATTATAAGACACTTAATATCCATCTTCCAGAATTGCCGTACCATATTTGATAGGGTTCAAATATGGTTTGAACCATGGGAACACCTACAAGGGCGATTAGAGGCCACCCCAAAAGCCTCTATCCCTCTCGGAGAGCCTGGCAAGCTACTGAGAGTATTCCGCTCGCACGGCAGAGCCTCGCAAGCTAGCCATTCGATTTGCCAAAACCAGTAATTACAATAGGTCTCATTCCCCTGACCCTAAAGGCATCACCAATATGGCAGCATTGAGAAGGATGAGAAAGGAGAGGCTGATAAAATCTCAAGGCCAAACTAGGCTGCCAAAACAAAGGACGACAAAAATGATCATCTGTGCTTTCAATGCACGTACACTAGCATCGGATGCATCCATCGAGGACCTGATGGTACAAGCGCAAAAGACCAAGTACAACATCGTTCTAATAACACCAAAATTAGCCAAGCAGCACAAATGCTGGCTGACGTCGACCATGAGTGTGGAAAGGTCGGACTACAGCTGAATCTCATGAAGACAATGTTCATGAGAAACAGTCTTGCTCCTGACGCTCCATTCACCGTCAACAGAATGACCATCTCCGAATGCAACAGTTATGTGTACCTAGGTCGAGAAGTCAACATGATGAATGACCTGGCACCTGAGATGCGCAGAACAAAAAGAGCGGCTTGGAACGCCTTCAAGAGCATTGAAGAAAGAGCTAAGAGGACAAAGAACCTCCGACTCTGGGCACATCTCTTTGATTCCACTATTCTTCCTTCATTAACATAGGCTTCAGAGACCTGGGCCCTATGCAAACAGGATGAGAACGCTATTCTGGTCTCCCAAAGAGGAATTGAAAGAGCTATGCTTGGAGTATCATGTTTCACTCAAATGAGAGAAAGAATTCAGAGTTCCGACCTCCATCAACGATCAAGAATCAGGGATGCTCTCATTTGCCAAGGTGTCAAAAATCAGATGGGCTGGACACGTAATGAGATTTAAGATAACCGCTGGACTAGAGCTGTTACCGACTGGATTCCATGGGACATCAAAAGACCACGTGGCCGCCCACCTACGAGATGGTCAGACTCTTTCATCAAGACCCTTAAGGATCGGTTTGAGGGTCTTCATGTTCCTAGCATGAACAGACACCGTTGGGCTACACTAGCACGCGACAGGGACAAATGGAGATGTTACTGGTGCCGCTCGAGCAAATCAATGATTAACAGGAAGTCAAATGATCAAGTGACCAGAGGTCACTCCTGACAATACTTGGGGACCATATGTGGTGCCAGGAATAAAACTGGTTTAGCCACATGCAAGGCAAATAAGTACTTTTCCTGCTGCTGATCTCTCCAACCCCTGCTGCTTCTTGAAAAACAAAAACAAAACAAAACAAAACACTACTGCCATATCCTGGCCAGAGTGATAATATAGTAGATAAGGCATTTACCTGTCACATGGCTGACCCAGGTTCAATCCCTGGCATCTCATATGGCCTCCTGAGCACTGCCTATAATTTCGATTGTCACACTGGGTTGTCACACCAGCGATGCTCAGCGTTAATTCTGGCTCTGCACTAAGGATTTACTCCTAGCGATGCTCAGGGGACCACAGGCCACATGGGATGCCAGGGATTGAACCCAGGTCTGCTGCGTGCAAGGCAAACCCTACCCGCTGTACTATTATTCCGGTCCCCTGAAAATGTTTTTAGAGGCTTGACTCATTATAGCTTCCAAGAGGAAACAGATATCCTTCAACAGATAAAAAAAACAAAACGTGGAAATTGAAGGGAAAAGAAAGGGGCGGGGCCAGAGGAGGAAGTCAGCTGGAGTGCATAATTTGTACAGGGGAGCCCTGATTTGATGATCATTGTACTGCAAGTTTCCTTACCTTTCAGTATGAGCGCCCATGTAGATTGCCTGTATTCAAGGGTTCTTGAGAATTGTATTAAAAGAGTCACATTACGAAATTCAGGTGGTTTGGGGCTGGAGCGATAGCACAGCAGGTAGGGCGTTTGCCTTACATGTGGCCAACCTGGGTTTGATTCCCAGCATCCCATATGGTCCCCTGAGCACCGCCCGGAATAATTCCTGAGTGCAGAGTGAGGAGTAACCCCTGTGCATCACCAGGTGTGACCCAAAAAGCAAAATAAAAACAAAACCAAAATTCAGGTGATTAGGAAGTTCATTATACAGTTTAAATAGAAGGGCTGGGTTCCCATGTATTATGTCATTCCTCCTCCCAATCCCCCCCCCTCGCCCCCGCCCCTAATCTGGATTATCACATCCTGGTCACCTTCCATATATGACAATTTGGTTTTGTCCCTACCCTAATCTGCCTTCAGCTTTCCTGATCTGGAATCTGCCTGGCTGAGAGGAACCCTGTCTCCTTTCTGTGCTAATCTTCTTCAGTGCCCCTGGGTGAGACTTCTGCACTCTATCTTTCTGCTTGGCTCTGCTGTCTGAGCCTATGTAAGGAAGACACAGAGCAAGAGAGGCAAGAGCGTGAGCTTTCTTCTTCCTGTTGTTGTTCCTCCTTTACTGCCTAGGGTTTCCTTTCCCCCACCCCACCCTTTTTTTTTCTTTTTGGGTTACACCCGGGGATGGGATGGTGAGGAGTTACTCCTGGTTCTGCACTCAGAAATCACTCCTGGCAGTGCTCAGGAAACATATAGGATGCTGGGGATCGAACCTGGGTCAGTCGAGTGCAAGGCAATCACCCTACCCAGTGTACTGTATCTCCACTTCCTGAGGTTTTCTTTTTGTCCATTGGTATTTCCCACCCTTGTCACCCTATCATCTTCACTTAATCACTTAACTTCCCATTAGTTGTCGATTTGCTCGAGCGGGCGCCAGTAACGTCTCCATTTGTCCCTGTCGCGTGCTAGTGTAGCCCAATGGCATCTGTTCGCTCTGGGAACATGAAGAGCCTCAAACTGATCGTTCATGATCTTGACGAACAAGTCTGACCATCTGGTAGGTGGGCGGCCACACGGTCTTTTGACATCCCGTGGAATCCAGTCAGTAATAGCTCTGGTCCAGCGGTCGTCTTTAAATCTCATTACGTGGCCAGCCCATCATCTATTCCTATCATCTATTCCTCATTGAATACCTTTTCCAAATGGTGAGATTAAAATTACCGGCTTAAGTGAATTTTAGTTTATCTGGTCCTACCCTCTTCCACTCCCACTGTGTTTAGGGAATCAGTCCTGAACACCATCCCCACAAGGGTTTTTTCCTTGAATTACAGGGAATGAGCCCTAAGCACCTCTCCACCCCCCCCCCCAATAAAGTTTTTTTTTCTTGCATTACAGAGAATGAACCCTGAGTAACAAGTTACACGCATACACACACAGAGGAACACTAATGAAAAAACTGGGTTGCTCTTTTTCAGTTTTGGGCGACACGCGACGTTGCTCTTGGCCTTGCATTCAGGAATATTCCTAGTGGTGCTTGGGGAACCATATGGGATGCCGGTTATCGAATTTGGGTCAGCTGCGTGAGAGGCAAACCCTCTATCCGCCGTACCACTGCTATGCCCCGAAAAACTGGGTTGTTGTTCATTTATGCTTAATGAAAAGAAGCAAATTCCAAATGGTTATGAACTATTTGATTCCACTTGTATAATTGAAAAAAACAAAATTAAAAGGTATGCAGTAGTCAGGGATTAAAGAAGGGGGTGTGGCTGTGGCTGTAAAGAGGGAAATGTGGGGCTGGCCCCGAGCGCGCGCTTTCCACGCACAGGACCAGGGTTCGCACCCGGCACCACACGCCCCATTCAGCACCTCTCATGTAGCCCTGCAATGGAGCCCTGCAATCTCAGGCCATGGCAGTGAACCCAGTGCTCTACTATCACCAGATCACCGGACTCCAGCCTCTCTGAGTCTCTCTGACCAGTGGGTTTTCTTTTTTTTTTTTTTTTTTGGTCACACCCGGCGATGCACAGGGGTAACTCCTGGCTCTGCACTCAGGAATTACTTCTGCTGGTGCTCAGGGGACTATACGGGATGCTGGGAATCGAACCCGGGTTGGCCGTGCGCAAGGCAAACGCCCTACCCGCTGTGCTATTACTGCAGCCCCTGACCAGTCGGTTTTCTTGACGGACAGGTAAACGCATCTCTTAATCACACTGAGCCCCAGGTGTGGGTCTAGTGCCCCAGACCCTGGGCAAACGCAACGCTCTGAAAGCGGAAGGCGAGGACACGCCCACTTAAAGAGGGGCTTCCGGCGCGCCCGCGGCGCGCGTCACATACGTCACTTCCGCCCGGAAGCAGAGCCCGCTTTCCTTCCCTGGGAGCCACTTGGATTCCGTCCGTGCGCCAAGTCTCCCCGCTGGGGCCATGGCCCTGCCGCCCTTTTTCGCCCCGGGCCGTGCGGGCCCGCCGCCCCCCGCTCCCTTCGGCTGCCCGCCGCCGCCGCCGCTGCCCTCCCCGGCCTTCCCGCCGCCCCTCCCGCCGCGGCCCGCCCCGTTCCTGCAGCCCCCGTTGGCCCTGCAACCCCCGCCCGCGGCCGAGGCGACCCGCGGCGGCGGCGGCGGCAGCGGCTTCTTCCCCGGGCCGCCCCCGCCGCTGCCGCCCCCGCCGCCGCCGCCGCCCCCGTGCCGGCCGCTCCCGGGCTGCGACTCCGGCGAGCGCCCGCGGCCGCCCTGGGGCCCGCGCTGGCCGGAGGCGCCGCTGCCGCCGCCGCCGCCCCCCGACGTGCTGGGGGACGCGGTCCTGCAGCGGCTCCGCGACCGCCAGTGGCTGGACGCGGTGTTCGGCGCCCCGCGGCGGGCGGGCGGCGCGGCGGCCCCGCGGGCGGCCCCCGGGCCGAGCCTGGGCGAGGTGCGCGCGCGCCTCCGCGGGGCGCTGAGCCTGGTGCGGCGGCTGCGCGAGCTGGCCCGGGCCCTGCGCGAGGCCGAGGCGGACGGCGCGGCCTGGGCGCGGCTGCACGCTGAGGCGGCGCCGCTGCGCGCCGAGCTGGCCGGGCGGCTGCAGCTGCTCACCCAGGCCGCCTACGTGGGCGAGGCGCGGCGGCGGCTGGAGCGGGTCCGACGCCGCCGCCTGCGGCTGCGCGAGCGCGCCCGGGAGCGCGAGGCCGAGCGGGAGGCGGAGAGCGCGCGCGCCGCCGAGCGCGAGCAGGAGATTGACCGCTGGAGGGTCAAGTGCGTGCAGGAGGTGGAGGAGAAGCAGCGGGTAAGTGCGGGGGCGGGGGGTGGGGGTGGGCAGCGCTCTGGCGTCCTCCCGGGACGTGCCACCCTAACCCTCGTAAAGCGACAGGTGCCCCCTCGGCCTGCTTGCCTGTTAGGTGGGCGCAGCGCCAAGTGCTTTAGGTTCACCTAGGTCGTTTTCGCAAAACCTAGGATCGCACAGGGGCATAGTAGACGTCAGATCCCCTGGCATCTGCTCACTTAACATTCAAGTCCTGGGTTTCGTGGTACCGCTCTGGCGATTTGAAGGATAAATAATTCCTGACCTTAGGGAAGAGATTTTCAGGTTTTCTCCGCCGAGGTTGATTGTTAGCTCTAGATTTATTGTACATGGCTGTTGCAGTATTGAGACAGTCTCCTTCAGTCCGCGTTTTGCTTAGGATTTTCACCAGGAATGGGTGTTGAATCCTGTCAAATTCCGCATTTACAGATGTGCTTTTTGTGGTTCCTTTTTTTGAATGTGGTGTATACTATTGATCTATTTGCATATACTGAATCATCCTTGTATCTCTGAGATGAATACAACTGAAGGTGATGTATGTTGCAGTTAATATATCTTATTGAATAACTTGGCATCTTGGCACTAGGAACATAGTCACTAATTAGCAAGAGTTGACTAGCCCCACACCAGGGTAAGCTCTGGACTCACTTCTGGCTCCTTGGGACCAGATGCAGGATCTTTTTTTTTTTTTTTTTTAATGTAGGAGTACTGCTATTTATTCAGCCATTGATTAAGCTGATTGAATTGGGCGTGAACACCACATTACTTTCTTTAAAAATTTTTTAATTGAATATTTTTAAGATAGATCATTAAAAAGCTGTTTATAATTGGGTTTTGGTCATACAACGATCCAGCACCCATCCCTCCACCAGTGTACATTTCCCACCACCAATGTCCCCTGTTTCCCTACCACCATCCCCCAATCCCTATCCCCCAGCCCAGCCTCTCTCTATGGGAGGCACTTTCCTTCTTGTTCTCTCTCTCCTTTTCCTTTTGCAAATGCAGGATCTAACCAGACTTTAAGCCTTACAACTACCTCTCAGGCTCATATTTCATTGTATGGAAGTTTGAAACCACTTCGAGTCCCCAGGCTCAGCAGTGGAGGTTTCTTAAGGCATTTTGCTCCAGTTCTTCTGTGCACCATGTCTTGAATCCTTGTGAGCCCAAAAGGCAGTGGCTGCTGCTTCATCCCAGTTTACCCTTTGTGAAGTGGAGTTGAAGAGCATTTGCTTGGTGATTTGAGGCCAAGTTGTCTGGTAGTAAAACCTGTTGATCTCAGTCTCTTGAGCAGAGGTCGAGGTCAATAGGAACTTGGTCAAAGATTTGTTCTGGTCAGTGGTGTTCAGCTGCTGCTCTGCAGGGTAGGAAATTGGGAACCTCTGGTGTGAGGGATTCTCATGGTCGGGTGCGAGTGATCATGACTCCCCTCAGTAGAGAGAGGCAGCTCGAGTTTGGTGTAATTACTGCCTTTGAGTTTGGTACAAATTCCCTCTGAGGTGTAGAAATGGAAGCATTTATTTTTAGCCTTCAGGAGTTTTAGTACTTGAAGGGTTCATCAGCCATGTACCACCAGTGGGTCACACTTGCATGTGGCTTTAGTGAAGGTCCCTTGGAGAGGGGTCCTGAATTAGCTTGGTAGACATGAGTGGGGATGTCATATGTGCATGGTCCAGTTCTGGGTTGAAAAGTAGAAAGGATTTTAGTCTTCACACCTGAGGATCTGTGTGTGGCCCATGAACTGATAGTAGACCAAGGTTTCCCTCCTCTCTGCACTTGCCCACCAACCTGGGTCCAGTGTTAGGTGCCATGTGACCCTAGAAGGAAACCAAGGAAGGAATATTCAAAGCACTGAGGACAGTATTGGGAACCTTCCTGGATGGTTGGGTCACATTTGAACTGGGAGCTGAAGGTAGGGTCAGGTGAAAGCAGTAGATGCAATTCCAGGCCTAGGGAGAAATCCAGGCAGAAGAGATCTCTCTTCTGCACAGCACAGCTCTCCTGATGGGACTCTGGGCACACACTTGACTGATGGGAAGGAGCCTTATTTTTCTATTTGGAGTTTGTTTGTGAGATGGCACAATCCTCTGTGCTTGGCTTACTTCTGGCTCTGCACTCAGAGATCACTCCTGGTGGGGCTTGGGGGACCCTATGTGGTGCCAAGGATCAAACCCAGGTCAACCGCGTACAATGCAAGTGCCTTCCCCGCCGTACTGTTTCTCTGGCCTGGGGAGGGATATTTTATTTAATTTGACTGGGAGGGAATTGCATACCTGGTGATACTCAGGGCTTACTCCTCGCACTGTATTCAGGGATCACTCCTGGTGGTGCTTGGGGAACCATGTGGAATGCTGGGGATTGAACCCAGGTCGGCCATGTGCAAAGCAAAGCAAATGCTCTCCCCGCTGTACTCTGACCCCCGGGAGAGGGGTATTTTAGCCAGGAGGATACTTTTGACACTCACAAAGCATATCAGAGATGGGCTCCATGAGAGACCAGTTAACTTAGTTTGCATGTGGATCAATCAGGAGAGTGGGGGTGGTACTTCGGTGTTTGAGAGGCTGTCCCGGCTTGCTGGGCTGCTCTGACCTGGTTCCTGATTTCCTGATAGTCTGAGTCTTAGTGCTCAGGAGTCTGTGCTGTGAGCAGTTAAGGTGAGCTGGACGCACTCTTCCTTGAGCCACACTCTGAGGGAACTGAGGGAACAAGCCCTCCACTGAGTGCAAAGAGAAGAAGGGCCTTGAAGATGAGAGGGTTGTAGCCTCAGTAGAGGAGGGTGACAGGACGCAGGAAGTGGGCCTGTAGGTCGGGGGCCTCTGAAGATGGGGACTCACTGCTGCTCCAGGGCGAGGCTGGTCCTGATCCCACGTCTTCTGGCCTCTGTTTCTCCCCCAGGAACAGGAACTTAAGGCTGCTGCTGACGGCGTCTTGTCGGAGGTGAGGAAGAAACAGGCAGACACCAAACGGATGGTGGACATTCTCCGGGCGCTGGAGAAGCTGAGGAAGCTCAGGAAAGAGGCTGCAGCGAGGAAAGGTAACAATAGGGGCTCTGTACTGCCACTGCATTTCTCCTCTCTCCTCTCTTCGCTCTCCCACCCTAGCCTCACACGGTTCTTGAAGGAAAAGCGCTTTGACAGGGTGTTACTTCCACCGAGTAGGATGGCTGGACTTGTCCGCAGGAAGCTGCAGAGATGTCCAGGGTTGCAGAGAGGCAAGTATGGGAACCTGCTGTGCTGGCTCCTGACTCCTCCATTCTGCAGGCTCTGCATGTCACATGCCTCTCAATGACTGGGTGCTGTCCCTCAGCCAAGTGAAACAATCCTAGTCCTACTGGGTGCTTCAAAAAGTATTGTAAACTTTGATGTTCCTTCAGAAACATTTCAACCCAAAACAGTGTCTGAGGCGTGTTGGGGCAGTCCCAGTGATACACGGCCTGTTGGGCCCATGGTTTGGTGCTAGGGCTTGAGGTTGAGGTGTGGTGCTGCCGGGTCTGCTGTGGTCTACCCTATGTTTGGGAGTCTCCGAGGCCACAGGCCACATCTGGTGACACTTTAGGGCTTTCAGAGCTGCACCCAGCAGGGACCACATTGGTGCTGGGTTGAACCTGCCTGGCATCTTCAGCTCTAACTGCTGTACTATCTCCTAGCCCCTGCGCCTGGTTTTTGAAGAGTACAAATAGAATACCAACTGTGATTGTATAAAGTTCCCCAACCTACTCGACTGTCCCTTTGTCATGCCTCTAGGAGCACCAGCACCACGGTCAGGCAGGCCAAGCTTCTCAGCAGAAGTTTGTTCTAGCCATGCCCTGAGTCCCACAGTTGCTTTTCATTTTCCTCTCTGGTTCTTTGCTCTTGCCAGTCTGTTTATCTTTAAAGGTTCCCTGTCCCATCTTTACCATTTTTAAGCTCTCACTGTTCTGCAAAAAACAAATACAGATGCGACATCCTCCAGCCACCCCTACCCGGCAGGTGAACTCATCTGCACCTTGTGCAGGCAACTCATTGGTCTTGTTTCATACGTTATCCAGAATTGGCATTCACTGGGTGTATCTGAGAGAACACAGGTTAGCGTGTTGAGGAAAACAAATGAGATTTCCTGTGGTTTAAAATGTATAATTATTTGGAGCCAGAGGGATAATACAGTAGGGTGTTTGCCTTTGCATATAGCTGACCTGGATTCAATCTCCAGCACACTATGTGGTCCCCTAAGCCCTTCATTGATGGGTATGGCCCTAAAACAAACAAAAATTACATACTTATATAACTGTACAGTGTAAATGAAATGAAGCTGTGATTCTTTTTTTTTTTTTTTGGACGGGGGGTCATGCCTGGTTATGCACAGGGGTTACTCCTGGCTTTGCACTCAGAAATTACTCCTGGCAGTGCTTGGGGGACCATATGGGATGTTGGGAATTGAACCCGGGTCGTCCGCGTGCAAGGCAAACACCCTACCCGCTGTGCTATTGCACCAGCCCCGAAGCTGTGATTCTTTCAGACTCACTAATTAATTCTGCTGTGTTATGGCCTTCATGCACTCATCCAGGCCAGTTCGCTGCTGAGTTCACACAAGAGCAGCTCACCAGGCGCCGGAGAGATAGGACAGCAGGTTGGGTGTGTGCTAAGGCCTCGGAACTGGGGAGTCCATCACAGTCAGAGGGCGTCAGGCATCTCCTTTGTCTCCCCATGAGTGCAGAATCTTAGTGCTGTGGTTCACGACTCAGAGCTCATATGTTTCATAGAGTGAGGAGTCCACGAACTTCTGCCAAATACTGGGAAGCGGCTCAGTGGCAGAGCACTTGGTGTGCACATGTGAGGGCTCTGGGTTCACTCCTGGCATTGCGGACCAAAAAACCTGGGGTGGGAGTATATAGTTCAGATGCTGAGTCACTGGCCTGGCACGTGGCTGCAGTCACAGCGAGACTTTTAAATCCTGAGCACTGCCAGGTGTAGTCCAAAGAGGAAAAAAGCCAGTATCTGGTGACCCCAAAGTCCATCACTTCAGCAACCTTGGAATAATGCGTATCCCCAGATGCCTCAGAGGGATTGGTCACTCCACAGCGTGGGCAGCACCTTGGCCAAGAACTTGCTGCCCATGACAGGGAGTGGCACCTTGCAGGGGTGCCATTGGAAATCAACCCAATGGTGACTTGCTGGAGGAGTGGCTGATAAGTGTCAGCCTTGGTCGTGGGATGGCTGCCCATGTGCCCTTGGGCAGGGCATCTCACAATGGCAGTGAATGGCAGCCACAGTGCAGGCCCACCTGGCTCTGCTCACGGGGGCGTGTGTGGACTCGGTCTGACTGCAGCCTTGCTTGGAGAAGGCCCCTGCTGCTACACTTAGACACACAGGAAAGAAGAAAGCAGCTGCTGTGGGCACCTAAGACTGCCACAGTGACTCCAGGCAGAGTGCCCTTCCCAGCTGCTGCAGTTCAACAGCAGGGCCAGCACCAGGGCCCAGCAATCAATGCCATCATTTGGTATCTGTGCTGATGGAATTAGATCTGCCATGGGATGGGGCTAAGTAAGGTGGGCTGGGTGTACCTGTGCGACCTGCACAAGCTCAGTAGGAGGGGGAGATAGAAGGCTAATGCGGAGGGCACGCCGCCCTGAATGTGACATGTTCAGGAAGCCAGAATGTTGCCCTGTCTGGTGTCCCTGGGATACAGGGCAACTGCGACTCTGGACTGCCCTTGCTTGTCCAGGAGGCTATGACTGGTTGAGCATTGTGGGCTACAGCGAGCACCAAAGGGACTGCTCACAGCTGCTCATGGCCACAGAGTGACTCTTTGTGGAGCTCAGTGGGCATTTCTGTCAGCATCCACAAGTAGGCCACACCCTGCTGTGTGTAGGGGGGCTGCCACTGCAGCTCCCTGTCCCTGCATATGCGGACTGACCTGCCCGCAGAGTCACAGGGACTGGCCCCACTCTGTCACCTTTTCCTGTGCAGTTTACACTGACCCCAGAAGAAAGTGACTGACTTGTAAAACCTCCAACCCGATGCATGGAAAGGAGAGCAGATGCCCCTGAGGGGCTGACAGGGTGTTTCCCAGAGCAGTGAGCGCCCCAGAGGCTCATGGGAAGACGAGCAGTCTGGACTGTGGGTGCCTGGGTGATCAGGAACTGCCCCTGTGGAGCCCCTTCCGGGGCTGCAAGCTTTCATGCCCAGCTTTCAGCTCTGTTCTGCCTGCCTGTGTGAGAGCCCCACCAGCAGTGTTCACTGTCCAGCTGGAGGATCGAAACCATTGGAAATCAGATCCAAGGTCATGTGTAGCATCCAGAGAGACCAAGGAAGGTGAAACTGGAGACTATAAACCATCACGGCTGGTGGGCCGGAGCGATAATACAGTGGGGAGGTGTTTTCCTTGCATGTGGCCAACCCAGGTTCGATCCCCAGCATCCCATATGGTCCCCTGAGTCCCACCAGGAGTGATCCCTGAGTGCAGGGTCAGGAGCACTGCCAAGTGTGAAAACCAAACATTACAAAGTTTAAAAACAGACTCTAATTTGCCTTCTGAGTCTGCTTCTCAGAATGAGGGTTTGGGGTTGAGAGCAGGTGAGATCTAAATGCCTTTGGGTATCTTTCCCAGGAGTTTGTCCGCCAGCTTCAGCCGATGAGACCTTTGAGCATCATCTTCAGAGACTGAGAAAACTTATAAAGAAACGCTCTGAACTGTATGAAGCTGAAGAGAGAGCCCTAAGAGTGATGTTGGAAGGAGAGCGAGAGGAAGAGAGGAAAAGAGAATTAGAAAAGAAGCAGCGGAAAGAGAAGGAGAAATTTCTACTTCAGAAGCAAGAAATTGAGTCCAAATTATTTGGGGATCCAAGTAAGTTTCTCTATTCAGGCATAAAAGGAAATTACTAAATTATTGCTGTTTTCGTGGGTCATCTCAGCTGGAATATCGAGGGGGTAGGTAAGCCACTAATGATCCCCCAGGATTGGGAATCATGGGTAAAGATGAAAGACAGTTGATTGGATTGTCGAAATCCTGTTTGCCCTGCATGCAACAGACTCCAATTCAGTCCCCAGCACCCAAGCACCTTGCCAGCGGTGATCTCTGAGCACCACCAGGTGTGACCAAAACCAAAAACCAAAAGAAGAAACACACTTCTAGGTATGAGGTGTGATGATTGTGCTTTCTCTTGCAGGTGAATTCCCGCTTGCTCACCTCCTGCAGCCTTTTCGGCAGTATTACCTCCAAGCGGAGCATTCCCTGCCTGCGCTCATCCAGATAAGGTCAGAGGGCGGCCTGCGGCTGCCTTTCCCTGCCACTGCTCCATTCCTCGGAAGAAATAGCTGGCGAGGCCTTTTCTTCCTTTTTAGGTTCCAAGTGCCAGGGGTGTTGTAGCATTTTTATCGGCCCTTGATACAACACTACATTGTCTTTGTATACTTTTTGGTAAAGAAGCCTTATTTAATTAATATACATTATTGTTTCATTGACATTCAATGAACATGCAAGAACAAAGGTGTGTGTGGGATATATATTCTTTATAAGGGCCAGAGAGAGAGTACAGCAGGTAGAGTGTTTGCCTTGCATGTGACCAGCATGAGTTTGATGCCCAGTATCCCATATGGTTCCCCTACCTCCAGCACCACCAGGAGTGATCCCTGAGCACTGTAGGGCATGGCCCAAAAACTAAAATTTAAAATAAAAAATTTGGGGAAAAGGACGTTTTCTCAACTGATAATTTAAAATGTATACAATCTAGCCAGCACCTCATCACCTGGGTACTCAAATTACGACCCTTTGCATGGGGAAAAACTAGTTATAAGGGACAAATTCCACGTGCTATTTGCTGTCCAGAGAGCTTTGCTAGTAAGACTGATGCATTGATGACAGCAGGGAGTGTGAAAAACCAATGAAGAGGTGTGTGTCCCAGGAGGAAAAGGTCCTGACTAGACTGCAGAAGGAAAGCTTGACAGCAGAGGAGTGGAGAGCACGAACTGTGGTGTCCTCCTCAGCCTCAGCTGAGAACATGCACGTCAGACAGTGACCATGAAACACCAGTCATGAGTGGGGGTTAGTTACTCCTCACTATGAGGAGTAACTCTATTCATCATTTGGTTATCTCTCCCTAAGATTGTAAGTTATTTGCAATAATCCCCTTTATAGATGCATAAAGAAATACATGCTGCATAGTCCTAGAGTAGAGTTGTATAATAGGATATCAATTACTCGAAAGCCATCTTTTTCAAATTTTTTTGTTTTGTTTTGGACCTATACTCATAGGTACTCAGGAAGCTGAGTACTCAGGGATCACTCCTGGTGGGGTTTGGGGAAACCATATAAGGTATCGGACTGAACCTGAGTCAGTCACTTGCAAGGCAAGTGACTTCCCACTGTGCTATCATTGCTCCAGTCCCTGAAAGCTAAACCTTGAAGTAAGATCTTTATTTGCTGCATACCTGCTTGGAACAAAAAAGAATGACCATTTGTTCTACGCTGTTCTGTTTAGGCATGATTGGGACCAGTACTTGGTGCCATCGGATCACCCCAAGGGTCACTCCGTTCCCCAAGGATGGGTTCTTCCCCCGCTCCCCAGCAACGACATCTGGGCAACTGCTGTTAAGCTCCAGTAGTGACGATGCTCCTGGAGTGTGTCTGGCCCAGGGTTCCTGCTGCTGCGTCTTGGCTTGGACTGAGCAACCCCAGCTGTGGCTCGGAAGTCACTTGGGCGCCTGCTGTGCAGAGGTGGTGAACTGGGGGATCTGCCGTTGGAATAAGCCATACACTGCACCTTGCAACTTTCCAGTACTGAGTGTGAAAGCAGCCCGGATGCAGAATTTTGTCCTTTCTGCCAGAGAACCACCTCACATCCAGGAAGAATCATCAAAAACACTTGTTTGTTTGGGCGCCACACCTGGCATTGCTAAGGGGCTGCTCTGCCAAACAGTGCCTGTGCCAGACTGCGCCGGGCCTCCTGCATGTGAAGCCAGTGCCCTGTCTGTGGAGCTGTGCCTCGCCCTCAGAAATATTTAATCTGTGCCAGAGAGACAGTACAATGTTGAGGGCACTTGCCTTACAAGTGGCTGACCCGGGTTCAATTCCCCCATATCCCATATGGTCCCCTAAGCACTGCCAGAAATGATCTCTGAGCATCGCTGCTGTGTGATTCCCCCCCAAAAGAGAAGGGGGGAAAAAAACCTGCTTTTTATTTAATTTTATTAATCTCGCTTCTGGTGCAACTTGAGACTGTAGGCTTGGGCTTTCAGGAAACTACTGACCTTGTCTAGTGACTGTGTGGAGAACGTTGAAGCATGCAGAGCATCTGTAGCCATGGGTGAGTGGTTGGGTCCTAGTGGGTGATGACATTCCCCTTTTTCGTTAGAAGGACCTTAAGGAAAGCACCTTTTGGTGGGCAGTTTGAGCCATGCCTGGACTCAAAACTGCTCACTCAGAAAGTGCTCAGACTAGCTTTTCCCATGCCCAGTCAGCTGCAAGCAAGACAAACCCCTGCATTGTGTCTTGGTCCTGAAAGCACCTCGTAAAATTTCTAGCAATTGAGACTCCCAGGAAGGAAATTTATTTCCTTAAAGAAGTGGGACCTTGACCAGTATCAGTCATGTGATGCTTTGGGGCCTGTTTAGCTGTAGAATTTTCTAGGAACCACAAAAATGGGTATGTTGTTAAAGTTGGGCAAAAACCAGATGAAAATAAATTATTTTTTTATTTTCTTTTTAAAGTTTTAATTTAATTTTTTTCTTTTTGGGTCATACCCAGCGATGTTCGGGGGATACCCCTGGCTCTGCACTCAGAAATCATTCCTGGCAGTGTTAGGGTGACCTTATGAGATGCCAGGGATCAAGTCCAGGTTGGCTGCTTCAGCCCCTTTTTATATTTTTTAATAAATGATATTGTACCTGGAGATGTTCATATGTCTGAGTTTTGTTTTGCTTGTCATTTATTGTGTTATTTAAATAATATTTAAATTAAAATATTTAAATTTTCAATTTGAGACTGTGCCCCCATTTGTTGCCTCTCAAATTACTCTACACTTTTCACATCAATGAAACATGCTTCACTCCTGAATTTATTTACTAGGGGGAGGAGATTGTTCACTCTTTGGTACTGGGCAGAAAAAGCTGCCCTGAGTTGGGCCTCACGCTGGGCTGGGCTACTTGCAAAACAAGTGCTTTAACTTTCTGCACTGGCTCTCTAGCCCTGTCACTCCTGAATTTCAGTTTATATAGTAGTCATTTGATATAAAGTTGTATCTCAAGCATTTGTTTTTGTAGAATACATACAGCTCATCTTATGTAGAAAATGACCATGAACTTTGGAAATAATTTCATCCAGTTGTAATCTTCCAGGTACAAGATGCTAATTAAATTTGTTTCTTTTAATTTATTAAATTTGCATTGTTAGGTTTACATACTGTGCATAAAGGATTAACAAGGTTCACCCAATTATATCTAGCTTACAAACAAAATCCGATGTGTTTGGCCTCATAAGCCTACAGTACTATGTGCCCCTTTGTTAAGTTTTCATTACTTGGTCTGATGAAATGCACAAGTGTCAAAAATGAATCACATGATGCATGCTTGCTGTCCAGGAAATTTTGCCACTGAGATGAGAGCCAGGAGCATGAAAACCCAGGAAAACAAACCAGGAAAAAAACCCCAGGAAACAAACCAGGAAAAAAAAAAAACAGGAAAAAAAAAACCAGGAAAAATCAGGAAAACAAACCCAGGAAAAAAAATAATAATTTCAGAGGTGGGGCTGGCTCAATCACACAGCAGGTTAGGTGCTTTCCGTGCGTATAGCTGACCTGGATTCACTCTCCAGCATGCCCTGAACCCACCAGGAGTGATCCCTGTTTACAAAGCTACAACTAAGCCAAAGCACTGCTGGATGTGTATGCTTCTATCCCCACTATCCTAATCCCCCACCCCCAACACACACAAAAATTATTCTTTCAGTGAGGTGGTATGTACTCCCTTCAGGAAGACAAATGGTTGTTTTTATTATCTTAGCAGCTATTCATTCACACGGGTTTGCAAAATAATTATAGTTCAGTTCTGCCACTCTCTTGAATTACCAGCTGGAATACTTCTGGAAAGAGAAACATCCCCTTATCAACAATTTTGTTACCATGGGCACAAAGGATATGGCAAGGGCTAGAATTTGCTTAATGAATTTTCAAAGTAACAAGCTGGTTCCTTAATGTCTTCAAAAAGTCACCAGTGAATGTTTTGTTTTAAGTGTTAAGAACAGAAATCTAGATATAATTGTATTTAAACCCATTGCCATTTATTTATTGACGGCCTTATTTTTGACCAGTGGGACTCTTAGTTCCTGAGTTCCCTTTCAGCCCCTGTATATTATTATTTCAGGTTTATCATATATAGATATATATATATATATACACATATATGTGTATACACACAGATACACACACACATATATATATATATTTTTTTTAAACAGTTTTGGTTTGGAAGCCACACCCAGCAGTGCTCAGGGGCCACTCCTGGCTTTATGCTCAGGGGTCAGGGTCATGCCCAGTGGTGCTTAGGGGACCATGTGTGGTCTTCAGGGTTAGCTGCATGCAAGGCAAGTGCCTTAACCTCTGTGCTATCTCTTTGGGCCTTCCTCTGTTTTAGGCTTTTTGTTTGTTTTTGTTGGTTGGTTGGTTTTGAGATCACACCTCGTGATGTTAAGGGCTTAGTCCTAGCTCTGAGCTCAGGGATTATACTTGGGTGACTTGGGGGTGCATATGGGATGCAGGAGATCAAACCCAAGTCAGCCACATGCAAGGCAAACACCCTACCCACTGTATTCTTTCTGACCCCAGGCCTTATTTCTTCTTCAGTGGAGAAGATATTCATACTATGTGCATGGTATGGGCAGTTTGTTACTGATTATTAGTCTTATTTGCAGTTGAAGCTAGGAACTCCAGTTCCCCTGAGTCTCTGGCTGTTTTCTAAATCATGTCTTTTTTATACTTAGAGATGAATTCTCTATCTGTTGAAGATAAATTAATGAAAAGAGAAAAAAAAAAACCAGAAACAAACCAGAAACCAATTGTGTGTTGACCCACAGCCTGTATTCCTCAGGCCAACAAATTATGAAATGAAGGGATTAGTTATCAGCTAATGTTACTTGGTGTATTCAGCTCTAGTGATTGAGTTTATGAGGCCAAAGGATTTGGCTACAAATGAGCCAAATAAATGACACTAGTTTAAGAGCATTCATGTTCCTGAGTCCATGTGACTCAGGTAAGGAGATAGTAAGAAGCTTAGCTGGGATTATACCATCTGTTGTAACAATTCACATCGACAACTTCTGTCCCCAGGGAAGCTGTTCTGGAAATTTCAAGGTAAGTACAAAGCATATCTTTCTTAGTTCCAAATACACACACACACACACACACACACACTGTCACTGTCACTGTCCTCCCATTGTTCATCAATTTGCTGGAGCGGGCCCAGTAACGTCTCCATTGTGACACTTGTTACTGTGTGGCATATTGAATAAATCATGGGTAGCTTGCCAGACTTTGCCGTGTGGGCGAGATACTGTCTGTAGCTTGCTGGGCTCTCTGAGAGGGGTGGAGGAATCGAACCTGGGTCGGCTGGGTCAGCCACATGCAAGGCAAATGCCCTACCTGCTGTGCTATCGCTCCAGCCCATATATACACTATGCATGCTATTTAGTATTAACATTATTAGTGAAATATTTTAGGGAATAGAGACTATAAGCAAGTTTTCAATGGAAAAAATATCTAATACTTTTAACCAATAATCTATTTCCATATGGTGAATTGTTTCCTTGTTTTGGTGCCAGAGATCAAACCAGGCCTCATAAATGTGCATGTGCTCACTATCACTGAGCTCATCCCAGTTCCAAGCTGTTCACTTTGGTGTGTATACACAGGGGTCTGCGGCTTGCCACTTCTGCATACCCGTGAAAAATTTGTTTCCAGGGATTGTAGAGATAGTACAGCGGGTAAGGCGTTTGCTTTGTATGCATTCTACTGGGATTCTATCCCTGGCATCCCATATGGTCCCCTAAGGCCCTCCAGAAGTGATTCCTGAGTGCAGGCGTAATCCCTGAGCACTGTTGGGTATGGATCCTCCTCCCCCCAAGAAAATTTGCTGCTATTGTTAAGTTTCATTGTCTTTGGGAGTCCAGTAAGTTTCTCATAGTCTTTAGAGCAGAGATTGCAGTCTTTGAGGCAACTGTGTCTAGAGGATATAATTCTGCAGAGTACTAAACACTATCTACTCAACTTTACTTAGTGCTTGTCAGCATCTAGATACCAAGACTTGAATGTGCTCTTGGAGAAATCATTTTAATGTAGTATTCTTGAGAGTCAATATTCAGTGTTGGAGACATAAAGAGGGATTAGCAGACAGGATTGGATCTGGAGTATCACAATGGTCAGACAGATAATTAATCAGTTATAATTGTGACAAATGTCATAGTGAAAAGGTGTTCAGTGAGGAACCATCTTTAACCGTATTTTAATCTTAGAACCTCAATCAATATGAGGTTTTCTTCATAAAAAAAAAGGTACTTTGTAACAAATTTACATTTTTCACCTGTACATATATCAAGTACCAGTTAAGGCTCAGTAATTTGTTAAGGACAAGGCTATGAGTTGACAAAACACCTTTTCTCCTGAATAAAGCTTATGAAGGAAATAGTATAATTTTAGCAAGTGTAAAATAATGTGCTGAATACTTTGAAGAACAAAGGCATAGCTGTATGAGATTAGGCATTTAAAAATTACTTTTCTTTGGTTTTTGAGTCACATCCCATGGTGCTTAGGACTTACTCCTGATTTTATGCTGAGGGATCACTCCTGGTGGTGCTCGGGAGACCATATGGGATGCCAGGGATCAAACCCGGGTTGGCCGAATGCAAGGCAAGTGCCTTACCTGCTGTACTTATCTATCTGGTCCTACATCGTGGTTTGAAATGTTTCCTTCAGATCCAGTGCATGGAATAGAATTATAGCCCTCCACACACACACACACACACACACACACACAAATAAGGAGACCCATGGACATCAGTTGCCTCAGTGGAAGATACCCAGAGTGATGGGTTCCAGAAGCTTCAGAGAACTTCAGAGGAGAACTAGTGATGGGAAGTGATGACAGAGGAAAGTATAGTGAGGAGGCCCTAACGTGTGCCCCTTAGACACCCCTTGAGACACGGAACCCTGGAGGTGGGGTGGAGTTTGAGAAGAACTCAATTTAGAGGCTGAGTGTAGGAGCACTTGAACTGGCCTGGAGAAGAGGCCTGAAGCATGACCCAGGGATTCTCCCTCATGAGGTGCCTTTGGCAGAAGCATCACCAGCTAAGGGCCACCAGAAGTCATGCACAGACTAGAAAGGAGATCTCAATAAACAATACACAGTCGAAGAAAGTTCAGTGGGTAAGGCACGCAGTCAACCTGTGTTCAACTCCCAGCTCTACCTATGGTCCCCTGAGCATTGCTACGAGTGATATACCATTGGAAATAGCCTAAAAACAAGAGAGAAAGAGAGAGGGAGGAAAAGATGGGGGAGGAGGAGGAACATCTATCTAGTTAACCTTTCCCCAATACTCTCCCCACTTCCGCCCTCCAGCTCAGACGCCACCAGTTGGCAGAGTCGACTGGTACTGAAACAGACCAGTGTGTGGGTCTGCTGAAGCATGAACAGAGTGCCTTTATAGCCATACCCCACTCCACCCCACCGCGCTCCATCCCTTTATTGGCTGAATGGTCCCTCTACTGCCAAAATCCCTTTACTCACTGAATGGATGAATGGACCAGCACTTAGCCTCAAGTTCTATTGCAATTCTCTTGATTTTTTTTTCTTTGGGGGCCACACTTGGCCCTGTGCTCAGAAGCCTTACCTGGTGGATGACCACTACAACCATGCACAAGGCAAGCACCTTAACTTTTCTACTTTTTTTTTTGCGGGGGGGGGGTGGGAATCACACCCAGAAATGCTCAGGGGTTACTCCTGGCTCTGCACTCAGGAATTACTCCTGGTAGTGCTTGAGGGACCATATGGGATTCCGGGGATTGAGCTCAGATTGGCCATGTGCAAGGCAAACACCCTACCCGCTGTACTATTGCTCCAGCCCCTAACTTTTCTACTTTTTTTTGGAGATCAAAAAGAATATAAAAACAAATGACAAATCTTAAGGCAGGACACAAATGAAATCAATAGAAGAGAGACATGCCATGAGTGGGGGAGAAGAGAAAGAGTTCTTTGATCGGTCAATTCTTTGACCACCTAGTCCCTTTCTGACATAGGTTGAAAAAAAGAGATCCACCACTTACCTTTCCCGAAGTCTTCGTGACTCCTGTGATCGTGGCCACTTCTCGGCGGTGCTCATTGCAGGGGTCCCTCGTGCCCTGCCCCACGTTGGGCACCACCTATCCCGTCCCACGGGACTAGTCAACATGGGTAACAGGGAGAGGGTGCAAGAGTGAAAGAAAGAGATAGACAGCAGAATTAGAGTATAGTGAGCAAAAGCTGAAGCTGCTTTATTGTGAATTCAACAGCACTTACTTATGTTGAGCTTAAGCTTTGTTCCTCATATCTTTGGGGCAGAGGCACAAAAGGGTAGTCATGGGACAGATGGGGGAGATAACAGGTTATCAGGGGCTCTTCCAAAGACTACTCGTTAAATCACAGACTGACATCAAGAATGTCAGTACTGCTTTTTAGTTCTTATTGGCCAACCATCCTGTTCTTGTAAAATGCCTTTCTTAACCCTGTAAATATTTTATAGGCAATGCCTTGGCAAGCTACTGAGAGTATCTTGCCTGCATGGCAAAGCCTGGCCAGCTACCTGTGACGTATTCAATATGCCAAAAACAGTAACAACAAGTCTCACAATTTGTTGTGAGACATTACTGGTGCCCGCTCAAGCAAATTGATGAACGGGAGGACAGTGCTGCAGTGCTTTCTTTTTTTCAGTTTTTCATGTGTAGGATGCAGTACTCCCAAGTAGTCTCCAGGGGGCCTTGGTGCCACTTCTGGCACTTCTTGGCCAAACAGGCCAGTGGGTTCAGTGCCGGCTCTGCAGGTTCAGGGACCACTTGTGGCCAGGGCTCAGGGGATCATACGGAGTACCGGGGATTGGACCTGGGTCTGTCACATAGAAGCAAGTGCCAAGCTCACTGGTACTATCTCTCTAGCCCCAAGTTATTAGCTTGCTCTCCATTTTATCAGCATTTCCCTGAATGAACAATTGTCTTTATGATTCAATAAGATTATAAAGTTACCGAGAGTATCTTACACGGCAAAGCCTGGCAAGCTACCCATGACATATTTGATATGCCAAACACAGTAACAAGTCTCACAATGGAGACATTACTGGGCCCACTCGAGCAAACCAATGAACAACGGGAGGACAGTGCTAAGATTATAAAGTTAGGAATATATTGTTTCATCATCCAGCTTTATTGTTTTCCCTTTCTCTCAGGACCACACCTCCCTAGTCAGCAGTTCCTGCATTTCTCTAACAGAATGAACGCCCTCCAAGATGTCCCCTTTAAGGTGCCCAGGGGCTTGGTCATGGCCCCTGAGCCCCTCCCCAGGCCGGAACCCAGCCTCCCAGCCTGCAGGGAGCTTCTGCTGGGCACTCTGGTAAGTGACGCTGCCCAACCCGGCTTCTTCAGGCCTGTGTCCTCTTGCAGCCAAGACAGCCATGTGGGCACTTGCTCCTTATCTTTCCAAGGCAGCCTGACCTGCGCTGGCATCTTCTTGGGAGTATGGAAATAGTCCCAGAGGAAAAGGTGTCTCCTGGAGAAGGTGGGTGTAGGAGGGACGTGGAAAAGGTCTGGGGGCTGGGGTTGTTTGGGTCTTCCTTGGCATCCAGGCTCACTGGGAGACTCTGTATGAAGCCACGGGTCGACACAGCTGCAGAGTCTTGTTCTCTTGCCCTCAACCTGCTGCCAGGTCTAAAATCCCAGCACTAGCCCCAGTGCTTTGGGCAAGGCCACCAGCTTTGGGTCCTCTCTTAAAATGGGAGCAGATGCCCGAGACAGACACAACAGAAGCAGTTACTCTGGCCCCCACTGTGCCAAGGTATATTCTGCCTGTGGGACTCACACTAGGATTGCACCCAAAGTACAAGGTGCTGCCATATGTCTTTTAGAAGAGACAAGTTGAGTGATGACAACTGAGTGATGGTACACTGGGGAGGGCGCTTGCCTTGCACGTGGCCAACCCGGTTCGATCTCAGGCATCTCATATGGTCCCTGGAGCACCTCCAGTAGTGATTCCTGAGCATCACCGGGTGTGGCCCAAAATAAAAAACTAAAAACAAAAAACTATCTTTCGCAGGACCCATAAGATAGTACAGTGGGTAAGATACATGCTTTACACATGGCCAACCCAAATTTGATCCTGGCTCCCCAAATGGTCTCTTGAGTACTGCTAGAAGTGATTCCTGAATGCAGAGCCAGGAGTGAGCCCTGAGCATTGCCCAGGTGTGGCTCCAAAACAAACAAAAAGATTTCGGGAAGAAACTTTCTGAGCCTATAACATGGATATCTCAGTAGGTAGAACGTAAAATTCACGAGATGTTTTGAAAGTCAAGAACAGGCTGGGAGCAACAGTACAGCAGGGAAAGCACTTGCTTTGAAGGTAGAGGACCCCAGTTTGATGCCTGCCACTGCATAGGTCCCTGGAGTCCTTCCAGGAGTGGCCCTGAAAATGAAAAAAGAAAGGAAAGATTTTTTTTTTTTGTCGATGCTCAGGAGTTACTCCAGGCTTTGAACTCAGAAATTACACTCCTGGCAGTGCTCGGGGGACCATATGGGATGCTGGGAATCGAACCTGGGTTGGCCGCATGCAAAGCAAACGTCCTACCCACTGTGCTATCGCTCCTGCCCCTAGAAATGAAAGATTTTAAAGAACCATAGAGCCAGCACTGGCCTGGGTGTGAGTCCTCACTCATGTGTGTTCATGCCCCACTGTGCTTCGTAAGAGAGTTCTAAAGTCTAGTTGAACTCTCACCCTGCATGTGTGCATTGGGAGGCCCAAGGAAGGGATATGATTTATGCATTTAGTGGCAATGACTAGAAAAACCCTGGGTCCTTACCCCAAATAATTTTTCAGCTAAGAGCAGTGCAGGGGACAGGAGAGACATGGAACAGATAGTTTCTAGGTACAAAGACAGTCAAAGCACCCCCCAGCAGCCACTGCACCTCCCCTTTTTGTTTGTTTGGTTGTTTTTTTTTTTCTTTTTGGCTTTTTGAGTCACACCCGGCAATGCACAGGGGTTACTCCTCGCTTTGCACTCAAGAAATACTCCTGGCGGTGCTCAGGGGACCATATGGAATGCTGGTGATCGAACCCTGGTGGGTTTCGTGCAAGGCAAATGCTATGGGTCCAGCCCCTCTTAAGGTCTGTAGATGGGCTTCCCTTCTAAGCCTCTAATCTGTTTGTGCTAACACCAACATTTCAATTGGTGTTTTTATATTATACTTGGGCTGGAGCGAATAGCACAGTAGGTAGGGCGTTTGCCTTGCACACAGCCGACCTGAGTTTGATTCCTCAGGGGTTCGATCACCAGCAATCCATATGGTCCCCGGCAAGCTACCAAGAGTATCCTACCCGCAAGGCAGAGCCTGGCAAGCTCCCCGAGGCGTATTCAATATGCCAAAAACAGTAACAACAAGTCTCACAATGGAGATATTACTGGTGCCCACTCGAGCAAATCGATGAACAACGGGAGGACAGTGACAGTGACAGTTTGCCATGAAGAGTTACTGCCTAGGACTTGTGCGGGCCCCCTGGGTTGGGGTCTGGAGTCACCTGGAGAGGGGGGCTGGTGGTGCCTGCATGTTCAGGATCGGGTCTCTGCGGGGGGGCCTCACGCCTTGTCCCCTCCGCAGCACGACTTCAGCCTGGAGAGGAGCGCGCTGTGCTGGGTGGAGGCCTTGGTCCCCGGGCCCTGCGCGCGTCCCCTCGACGGCTCGGCCGCCGCGTCCGCCCCTCCCGCCTGGCTGGTGCTGCTCAGCCCCGCGGGCCCCGAGGAAGAGGACAAGGAAGACGCCCAGGCTGGCATCGCCACCCGGCCGGGTCCTGGCTGCCCTCCGCCCCGCGTCCCAGGCCCTGGCGAGCGGTGGCGGCACTCGGAGCGTTGGACGGACGCCGGGCGGCCCCGCGCGCTCAGCCTCTGTCCGGGCCTGGAGATCCCCCGCCGCCCCGCAACACCCCCAAGGCCTTCCACGGCCGGTGCCGCCCGCCCGCTGCGGAGCCCCCCGCCCACGCCCGCGGTAAGAGCCCGGGGACCCTCCATCCTCTATCCTCGATCCTCTGCCCGCAGCCTGCCAGGCTGAAGGGCGCCCAGCCCGCACGGTCCCCTGTGCCTGCTTCACCCCGGCTGGGCCTCTAGCTTCGTCCTGTCGGTTCGTGGTGCCCCACGAACATCCCTGCAACCAGAGATCTGACCCAGAACCACGAGAGCTGGCCGTGAGTGCGGGGCCAGACAGTGCTGTGTCCTGGGTGGGCCCAGGCGTGGAGGGGGCTCAGGGCGGAGGGAGCGGAAAGGAACAGCCGGTGAGACCCAGCCCAGGACCCTTTGCCCTTTCCGAGACTCGGGACTCATTTAAAAGTCACGGTTGTGTCTTTCCTTCTTTTGCCTTTTTGGTTTTTGAGGCCACACCCGGCCATTCTGAGTGCTTACTCCTGGCTCTGTGTCCAGGGATAATTCCTGGCCTCGGTCAGCTGCTTGCAAGCAATTGCCTTAACCCTGTACCATCTCTTCGGCCCCATCTTTCTTTTTAATTTAATTAGGGCCACACCTGGCGGTGCTCAGGGCTTACCCCTGGCTCTGCACTTAGGGATCACTCCTGGTGGAACAGTTGGGGTACCAGTGATTAAACCCCACAAGGAAAGTGCCTCACTCACTACTGTTTTATCTCTGCAGCGCCAAATGTCTTTTTCCTTGAAAGGACTAAACTGTACCAGACTGACACCTTTCTAGTATGAATCCAGAGCAGTTGGGGCTCTGCAAGGAGTGGTCGCTGAAGGGGATGGGGGGACAGCTCTCAGAGGTCAGGGGATGAACAGGTGGACAGGGCCAGGGCAAATTTAGCCCAGGGAACACAACAGAGATCTGGCCTTTCCACACTTCCCCCGACCCCCTTGCTGTTGCGTGTGGCTCTGTCTGTGGCCCCCACACCTGCTTGGAGCAAACTTAGGGACAAGGTTGCTGAGGCCACGAGCTACCCCCACATTCAGGTAGAACATGGAACTGAGGTCATCCTACTCTTTTTTGGGGAAGGGGGCCACAGCTGGCAGTGCTCATGGGGTAACTCCTGGCTCTGCAGTCAAGGGTAACTCCTGGTGGTGCTCGGTGGACCATATGGGATGCCCAGGATCAAACCTGGGTTGGCTACGCTCAAAACAGATGCCCTCCCCACTGGATTATCCCTCTGGCTCTTGCAGTGTTGAGATTATATTTCACTCGCTGGGCACTTTTCCCCCTAGCACCTCTGCCCTGGAAGTGACTTGAACAGTGTTTTCAACTATGTGCCTACCTGTCCTGTAGTTGGGGGTTGGGGAGAGGAGGCACCTTCCCAGCCAGTGCCCCCCAGGGAGGCCCATCCTACCCCCCACCAAGGTTCTGGAATCCTTTCCCTGGATACCATCCACATTGGGTCTGAGCACAGTGGCCTCTGACCCAGGAGGCCTCTGTTTCCCCTCTGCGCCATGAGGTCCCCAAGGCCACTGGTTATGCCTTGCCCAGTAAGTCTGATCAGTCCTTTGTGAGACTGTCCCATGCATATTGACCCCACCCACCGTCCCTGCCCTCCCTCACCGCCCACTGTCGCTGTTCCCCCTCACACTGACTGACCCTGCCCTCCCTCGCACCCACTGTCTCTTGCCTCTCCGCAGTTTCTCGGCTACCTCAGGGCCTGTGAGCGCCTTCGGCAGCAGGGCTACGAGCGGAGCCTGGTAGAGGAGGCCATGGAGATGTCCCAGTTCTCTGAACGTCAGGTCAGCAGGCGAGGGGACCACGGGGGCCCAGAGCAGCCCAGCGGCCACACAAAGAAGAGAAGGTGCCAAAGAGTTAGGCTGCAGTAGCGTGGTCTGAACTGGGCCAGTCGCCTCAGCCCTGCTGTTGAAGGCCTGCTCTCTGCTGAACGTTCGGGTTGTCAGAACAAAGACCCTCGAACTCTCTACTTGGGGAGTTTGCAGGCTGGGATGTGCTAAGTGTCCCCATCACTGGCAGAAAGTCAGATTTGCAGGAGTGGGAAGGAAGGGGAGGGGAGGGTAAGGAAGGGAGAGGAGGAGAAGAAATGATAGGGGAAGGAGGGGGAGGAGGAGGAACTAATGGGGAGAAGGTTGGGGAGGGCTGGCCGAGGCTGGTCCTGGCATCCTTGGCAGGTTTGGGACTGTGTCTCTTCTGGGGCCTGTGCTCAGCAGCCAGGATGAGGCCCAGGCTGTGGCCCAGAGAGGGAGGCCCAGGCGGCTGCAGGTTCTGCCTGCAGCAGTCCTCAGCTAGTGGGGTAGGCGTCAGGCCCATGGAGCCCCCAGCTCTCTGTCCCCCTCTCTGTCCCCCAGGCCCGGGAGTTGCTGCGTCTCTGGGAGCAGTTCAGCGACATGGGATTCCAGCAGGACCGCATCCGGGAGGTGCTGCTGGTCCACGGGCCCTGCCGTGAGCGTGCCCTGGAGGAGCTGGTGTCCTGCGTACCCTGACCACAGCGCCCCATGAGACTGGCCCCAGCCACTGCATTGCCAGGTCCTGCAGGAAGAATTTAGTGAGTCCCTGATGGCCATGGGAGAGTGCCTGTCTCCCTATCCTCTCCAGTCCCCAACCCCAAACAAACAAGCTCTGCTGCTCTCTGCAGATGCACGCACGGCCGATGTGGATGGGGAGCAGTCACCTCTGGGTGGAGGCGGAGGGTGGGTGACACAGATGTAAAATGATCCCAACAGATTTCTCTGGGAGACACAAGCCCTGAAGCACTGGGAAGTTCCAATGAAGGGCTCCCCCAAAGTCACAGCAGCTTCCCCCAAGACCCAGGGCAACGGCGCTGACAGCTCTCATGGCCAGCCCACGGGAGGGCAGGAAGGGACACATGTCATGTCGATCTGTCCTACCCAGAGTCCCCAATTCCAAAACTAATCCACTTAGATAGCCCCTTCCGCCCTCACTCACGGTCTAGAAAGAACACGTAAGCCAGGGACCATGCTAAGGATGAAGACCTTTTCCTGTTTCCTCGCAAATGCCATCCTATTTCCTTGATAAAGTTTTCTTATACCTGTAATTGTCTCAGTGAATTCATTCACAAACCCACACACCTGCCTGTAACCCCCAGCAACAGCCAATGGTGCCAGTGAGCTTGACTTGACTGTCTTATTTTTACCTGGAGCTCTATTTTGTTGTTGTTGTTCTTTGTTTTTGGTTTGGGGGCCACACCCGGCAGTGCTCAGGGCTTACTCCTGGCTCTGTGCTCAGGCATCACTCGTAGTGGTACTCGGGGACCATGTGGGGTGGCAGGGATTGAACCCAGATTGGTCATATGCCAGGCAAGTGCCCTCCTCACTATACTATGGCTTCCCTGGGGCTCTATTTTAATTTATTTAAAAAATATTTTTTGAATGGGGGAGCTACACCCAGCTCTGCTTAGGGCTTACTCCTCCCTCCGCACTCAGAGATCACTCCTGGAAGGCCTGGGGGACCATATGGGGTACTGGGGATCGAACCCAGGTTGACTGAGTTCAAGGCAAGTGTCCTGCCCACTGTACTACCTCTCTATCCCCCCTCCCCAGGTGGGGAGGACTCTATTTTAAAGAAAGAAAAGGGGCTAGAGCACATGGTTTGCCATCAGGAAGTCGTCTGGTTCTATCCCTGGCACCACATGGTTCCCTGAGCACCAGCAGGAGTGACTCCCAAGCACAAAACCAGGTGCCAGGTGTAGCCCCAAAACTGAAAAGGAAGGAACGATAAGAGGGAGGGAAGGAAGGAAAGAATGAGAGGGAGGAATGGGAGGAAGGAATGGAGGAAGTATGGAGAGTAAAACAGTTTATTGGCAGGCATCCTGGGAAGCTCAGTGAGAGGAACTCGGAGTGGTTTGGAACTCTGGATTCTTACACATTGCCAGCCACTAACTAAATGTGCAGGGAAAGGAGAGACTAGAGGAAATAGTTTCAGGTTTCCAAAAGCGGTGCATGATGGGAAGGAAAGGAGATGGGAAGGGAACCACGGGGTCTGGAAGCAGCTGGTCTCCAGGAAACAGGGTTTCCATGCTGCTGCAGGGTCAGTGCTTCTCGACCTGACCACACACTGGAATCCGCCTGTACAAACTTAGAAATGAGATGCTGGGTCCCTCCCACTACCACAGTTACTCTGATGGCATTGTAAGGGTCTGGACCTCCATCATAGTATTGCAAATCTTAGAGAAACATTGGATCATTAATGCACTCTGGGTGTCTCTAGGGAAGAAATGAGAAGGAAAGTTTGTGAACTTTTGCTTTGGGTAGCAAAGGAGAGGGAAGAGAGAGAAGATCTGCCTCTGCTGGTAACTGAATCAAGGCCTCACTGAGATGCGTTTCCCCAAGAAAAGTGAAGACACTGCATCAGGCCAAAAGTTTCCCATATTTGTCTCAGAAGCAAGTTAGAACCTGGATCGTGCCCTGGAGAATCTGATTGAAAAAGTCCAACTTAGCAGTTCCCTGAAATCTGCCGTGTGTGTGTGTGTGTGTGTGTGTGTGTGTGTGTGTGTGTGTGTGTGGTTTTGGGGGGCCACACTCAGTGGTGTTCAGGGATTGCTCCAAGCAGGGCTTGGGAGATCACATGTGGTTCTGGGGATCGAACCTGGGTTGGTGAGATTAAGTCAGTCACCCTACTCGCTGTACTATCTCTCTGGTCCAAATCTGGTTGGGGGGGGGGGTTCTGGGAGGTGTTTATATTTGGTGCATACCTGATAATGATCAGGGGTTACTCTGGCTCTGCACTCAGGAATAACTTCTGGCAGGCTGAGGGGATCATACGGGATGCTGGGGATCAAACCCAAGTCAGCCCTCCCCGCTCCACTGTTACTCAGGCCCCGTGTTTTGTCCTTGTATGCAGTTCTTCTGAGCTTCTCTGCCAGTGGAGGGTCAGGAAGCCTCACCTAGAACCAGTCAGCCTGGGCCCCCCTGCGTGGAAGATCTGTGCTCCTATCTTTCCACATTTGGGGCAGTGTGGGTTGTCTCCATGCACCTAGGCCTACCTTCAGGGGCCCCAGGCTGAGAGGACCAGTTGTGGAGCTCCTGGAGCTCACGGAAGCAGAGGTCCCAGCCAGATGCCCCCACCCATCCCTTCTCAGCTGGCCCCATCCAAAAAAGGCGCAGCAATGACAGACAGCCTCTCGGCGCTTTCCACGCTGCCATCAGGGCCGGGCTTGGAGCTGAAGCCTAGCTGAAGCCTATAAACTACCAGAACCTTCCAGGTCTCTAAGTCTTCAGATACCATGTTGTTGGAATGGTGTGTGTGTGTGGGGGGGGGGAGGGGGGTGACTTCCAGCATCTCCTCAGGCCCCAGCACCAAACTTGGGACTAGAAGACAAGTTTCTAAGACCCCTCCAACCCACCAGGGACTTTCCACTCAACCTTGGTGTCTGCCAATAGAGATCACACTCAAAACAGTCTCTGGCCTCACAATTTGCTTTGAGTTAACTTGGAGGCAATGCAAAACAAAAACCAAAGAGTGTTCGAGAAAATGGTTAAGATGGTCCCAAGCTGGTCAAAATAAAACTGTCTTGGGACTTAGGGGTACAGAGGTTAAGGTGCTTGTGCTGCATGCGGCTGACCAGGGTTTGATCCCTGGCACCTCATACGGGGGCCCCCAGCTCTTTCAGGAGAGATCCCTTAGTGCAGAGCCAGGAGTAACCTCTGAGCATCACCAGGTTTGGCTCCAACACTAAACAAAAAGATACTGGGAAAAGTCAGTAAAATTCAAGTTTAATCTCCAAGACTTTAATCCCATGTGTCTTCCCTGATGTGCCACTTGTGGACCAGATGTGACCATGAGCAGCCCCATGCTTGGCTACTGTCTTCCCCTGTGCCTTGCTTTCTAACCCCAGAAAACTATTGCTTGATCTAAAAGGAGATATCTGGGCTGGAGTGATAGTACAGTGGGTAGGGCTCTTGCCGTGCACGTGGCCGACACAGGTTTAATACCCAGGACCCCATATGGTTCCCCCACCCAAGCACTGCCAGGAGTGATCCATGAGCACCACTGGGGGTAGCCCCTAAACCAAAAACCAAACAAAAAGAAAAAAGAAAAAAGGTACCTATGGCATATTGATACAGTGTGATAGTCAAAGGCATGGACTCTTAGAGCTGGGCTAAAGGCCTGCCACTGACTAGCTGTGTGACCTCCAAAGAGTCACACAACTTCTCTGAGCCTCAGTTTATTTATTTATTTATTTATTTTTAAAATTTTGTTTTGGGGCTACATTCAGTGTTGCTCAGTGGTTAGTCCCAGCTCTGCATTCAGGAATCACTTCTGGCAGTACTCAAGGGAACTTACAAATTCGGGTCGACAGTGTGCAAGGCAGGGACTTCGTGCTGGGCTGTTACTGCAGTCCTGAGCCTTTCTTATCTGTGCACTATTGGAAGCTCCTAATTGGGATGACTCAACAGCTTCGCTGGAAGTGCATGGCTTCTTTATACCTATTTATGGCCTGTCTTGTTCTTCTACCTTTTCGTGCTTTTCAGTTTGTGTGCCAGTGGCTGAAGAGCACTGCTGTAATTAATGCTAACTTCCCTCTGGCCATCCTGCTAATTATTCTTTTTTTTTCTTTTTGGGTCACATCTGGCAATGCTCAGGGGTTACTCCTGGCTCTTCACTCAGGAATTACTCCTGGCGGTGCTTGGGGGACCATATGGGATGTTGGGAATCGAACCTGGGTCAGCCGTGTGCAAGGCAAATGCCCTACCCGCTGTACTATTGCTCCAGCCCCCTGCTCATTATTCTTATGGTTAAAAAAACGTCTTATGGAGCTGGAGCAATAGCACAGTGGGTAGGTCATTTGCTTTGCACGTGGCCAACCTGGGTTCAATTCCCAGCATCCCATATGGTCCCCCGAGCACCGCCAGGAGTAATTCCTGAGTGCAGAGCCAGGAGTAACCCCTGAGCATCACTGGGTGTGACCCAAAAAGAAAAAAAAAGCTTATATCCTGCCTTCATTTAGTCTCCAGCAGTGTGTATGCCTCCCCACCCCCACCGACACACACACACACACACACACACACACACACACACACACACACACACACTGCCAGGAGTGACAGAGCCAGGAGTAAGCCCTGAGCAACATCCACATGCCCCAGTAGGATCATGGGGTCTGGACATCTGCCCCAACATCCACATACCCCTCACAATTTAAAAACAAAACAAAAGTCTTCAGGTTTCTTATTTTTTTTTTTTTTAGTTTTTTTGGGGGGGTGACACACCTGGTGATGCTCAGGGTTTACTTCTGGTCTGCACTCAGGAATCACTTCTGGCAGTGCTCTGGGGGACCATGAGGGCCATGACTGAACATGGTTAAGCTGTGTGTAAGGCAAATGCCCTCATCACTGTACTGTTGCCCCACCCCTACACCCCCAGCCTTTATAATCATACTTAGGAGACCTGGGAGAACCCCCAGCACGCACGTGCGCGCGTGCACACACACACACACACACACACACACACACACACACACACA